TAAAATCATATTCCTTATTTTTCGCCCCAGCCACAGAAATAACTGGCTTGACAAGTATCAGCTATAACCTCTCATCATTTTAAAACCCTAATTTCTTTAATTTTTTTCCTCAGAATACAGAAAGAAAAGACTTTCCGTATGAGCGTCGGCCCACGTCCAAGGCGTACATCCCTCCTGATGACGGGGACTACTATTACACAGCTGCTGTTTGGGGTGGATGCCTGGAGGAAATGTACAAGCTAGTCAAGTAAACAAACTCACTTAACTCCTAGGTTATTTTTCATGCTATTTTTGAGATTAATGCCACTACTAATTTACCAAGTTTTGATTTTTCCCTTTTCTGTTTGAATAAATGTGAAATTTAAAAATAAGATTTAACTCCAGCATCACTGTGTCAAAGTTCTGCTGCTTTTATTTTATCAGATACTGTTATGAGCAGTCAGAGGAGGATGCAAAGAACAATATTGAGGCTGTGTGGCAGGAAGAGAGTCATCTCAACAAGTAGAGTGTCACAGTTCAATCCAGCATTATGAAAACATTCACACGTGTCTTTGTTTCTCTGCTGTTGTCTGATTTATTTTTTCACTGCTTCTTATTGTTCCTTCCATTTTTAATGTAAAGTTGGAATCTACCAGTGTCTAATTAGACTTTTCTATATCTGCTACTTTTTCTCAGATTTCCAGTTTTCTTAAATAATTTTAATTGTTTTCACTGTATTGTTTATTAACCTTTGTAAAGGACAGTCCATATCTCATGGTCTATATTTCTGAGACAAACATTTAGAATACACACATTTGTGTGTGTGTGTGTCTCTCTCTCTCTCATGCAGGTACCTGTTGTACAACAAACCAACCAAAGTACTGTCTCCAGAATACCTGTGGTCGGACTATGATCGTGTACCAGCAGACATCAGAGTGGTCAGGATCTTCCAGTTGGTTAAGAACTATGAAGAAGTGAGGCCCAATGGTGGAAATTGATGTTGAGTCAGTTCAATATTAAAGACATGAAACAAAACTGATGATAATAATAATAATAATAGATGTGATAAGTGGTATGAGCTGTTTCAACTATTTTGTATTTCTTTTTATTGAAGGATTAAAGAAATGGATTTCAAGTTTTGGTCTCTAAAGACATGTAGGACAAAACTTAGTGGGCATCATATAAAACCTAACACAGACTATCATAGTTCAGAGCATGGTCATAAACCATATAACCCAATAATTTGCATTACATGAGGCAGACTTCGCTTGGTGCAGTAAAGCTGCAGCCAATTAAACTATCAGTATGCAAATGACAAGATCACCTTAACTAATGTGACCCTGTTGCCAAAAGCAGCACCCATTCCCATTGTTCCTCCTGGCCAAAAATGAAAATAATCAACAATGAGCAGAACAATTAACACAGACAGTCCTGCTGACTTGCATGTCTGCTTGAGCTCATTTGCTAGATGTTGTCCTTCCATCTTAGTACAGGCATGCAGTCTGTGCCTTGTGGCCAAGTGCTGATCAGTAACGTTGTTGATGCAGCAAATCAGTTTTTTTGGAGCTTTTTTTATTAGTGAGGAAATATAAGTATGTTTCACGTAGTTTATAAGTAATTTCAAGTATGAATAACAAAAGTATATTGCATGATTAGAATAAAAGCACAGATTTTGTTTTGGTTTTTTTTTTTTTTTGCAAGGAGTGGATGTTTAGTTAAGATTTACTTGATTATTCAACAAAAACCAAAACAACTTGAGACAATCAGGGATATTCTTGACATGACCTAAATACAATCTTTTAAAAATGTACCAGAGTATTTCTCTTATGAATTAAAATCCCCAGTTTTATTAGTTTTTCTTGTGCTATGGAAGCACAGCACAGTGCAACCAGTATTGTACAGATGTCCAACTAAAGAATAACGGCTGGACTGTCACTGCACTTCCAGTTAAAATTGCACATTGGAGTTAAGTTGGAAAAAAAAAAAACTATCACTGAATTATCACAGTCTTTTCCACCACAATTCGTTTGTGGCGCCCTCAGGGGGCTGTTTAGTAATGTAGTATTTTATTTAATTTTTACCTCTTAAAACCCAGCATTCTTTTTTCTGCCACCAGAAAAGTCACTTTCTCATCACTACTACAGTAGATACTGTGCAGTGGATGCAGCGAGCAAGCCACTGACTGCATGAATGAAACCTAATGCTTGTGAATAGTTTGACCATATTTCATATGAGGAGACTGTATCAGTATTTATAATACTTTACACAGGGTTTCACCTATTTCCTCAGAGGTCCATTAAACTTGGTTAACACAGAGCCACAAATCACAAAAATAGCAATTGCAACTTTGTCAATTAATGCGATTAGGGTTTGGGTTAGTCATAAAACCACATATAAATCTCATCAGCACCCACTTTGCAATTACAGTTGCTCTGATGTTTTTTCGGTATTTCTCACCCGCTCCATATCTGACACCTTAAGTATACAATAAATAATAGCCTATGCTGAGACGAATAGATAACACAAGAATTTAATTCAAACAAAAAATACTGTAAATGGCCTGTGGGGGCAGCAACACGCCATCGCTGTGTCTGGCCTGCCACAAATATCAATAGTAGAAGAAGAGTCGACGTTGTGGTTGGTCATTTGACCAGTTGTCCTCTGAGCCTCACAGTCTGAGCTTAGGTTCGAGTCGCCCTTCAACATAAAGAGAGTGTTGTTTTCAGCTAAAGCAGAAACCATTCAAGCATTAAACTATGGCGGGGACACTTGCACGGAAAGCCATTGATCACCTCAAGAGTAAAGAGTTCAGGGATTATTTGATGAGGTATGTATTAGAGGCGCCTAGATTTTGGTGTTAGCTCGTATGCTAATATAGCTAAATGACCGTAGCAGTCGTGTGAAGGTAACGTTAATGTTTAACATTCAGCCGAATTTACTCTCCTGGCTTGTTAAGTTACTGTTTCCTCGGTGGCTTCGCTTTTCTTTGCTAGTTTTCAAGGATAATTGTGCTTATTTTGGGGTTGTACCGTTGAGTTAAATCCAGTTTATGAGGTTTAACGTTGTGTGGAACGGCACACTTTACTTTGGATTTACTCGTTTTTATGTTTTCCACGTGGACTGCTTGTGAGAAATATGTTGTCATGCTTTAGAAACCCACCAAAATATCAAACGGTTTTTAAAAGTAGGTCGTAACTTGTGATGAGCTCTGATAGAGACAGGGAAACTTTGCATCCAATAACAGTTTTGAACTGGGTTGCGCGATGAAGTTGTGGCCAGTGTCACACCTGGATTTAGAGACAAATTTTTATTGCTACTTGACATTTTTTCAAGACACTGGTTAGTGTGAGCGTACCCTGGTGGTGTGTGCACTTGCCACAGTTCAGCCACGTTTGAAAGTTAAGAGTAAAGATGATGTCGCAGCGACGAAAGAAGCCATCTTTGTTTACACTTGTCACAGATGGACAAGGAGTTATCTCTGGGTTTTTTTTTTTTTTTTTGTTCATGTAGCTATACAGTAATCAGTAAGTTTATCAGCTTGCGTTGGATTCCCAGTTTTAAGCGTAATTTAACATTTACATTTGGGGGCAAAAATGTTATGTAAGGCATTATTTAGTGATGGGGAGATGAAGCAGATATTCTGTCAATACCTTGGGTCCTGGGTTCTTTCAGTTTGACTTTGCCTCCTGTCATTTGTGAATTGGCTGAAACAGACCTGAATCCTCATCTTGGTGGCAGCTGCTGTTGTGTGACCTGGCTCATATCACTATGTCTTATCTGTATTTATGTTTTTTCCTTTCCTATGTGACCCTGCAAATAAAAACTTCAACAGCACGGTAAGTCCCCATGATCAGCCATCACATCTGTATCTCTCCTCATTTTGTGACTGTCTGCTTTTTTCTTCTTTTATGGTTTCTGCTGGTTAGTCCTAAATATGAACCTGATACGAAATATTTGTAGTGGCATAATTTTCAAATCTTTATGGTCCCAACTATACTTTGTCACTCTGTGTGTGTGTGTGTGTGTGTGTGTGTGTGTGTGTGTGTGTGTGTGTGTGTGTTTGCGTGCGTGCGTGCACGCACGCAGCATTTCTGGGGTCCTGTAGCGAACTGGGGTCTTCCCATAGCTGCCATCACAGATATGAAGAAGAGCCCTGAGATTATCAGTGGTCGAATGACCTTTGGTAAGACACACATACTGATAATGAGGGCTGCAATGTGGATGATGTTTCAGCCTGTATTTGTTTATGTTTTTGGAACCTTAAGAACGCCAAACTAACTGTCAGCAGTTTATTTTTTTTGTGTACTGTTGGATGTATTGACAGGTATCACTGAATTATGTCAACACTGAGAAAAAAAAATCTTAAACACCCAGTGTTTCTAAAGCAGTTCCTGTGTGTTTCTTCGAACTGCCCACCCCCTTTTTTTAAGCTATTAATGGTTACATTTTGCTCTGTACTATTGGATGTGTACTGACTGATATTACTGAATAACTTTGATTATTAAAGGATTCTTGAATACCTCAGGTCAGTGTTTTAATTATATTTAACTATTCAAATTTTAGTTGTATAAAAAAAACTATGGACTTTGTATATATTATTCATATATGACATTTCTTTCATTTGTAAATGAGCTGCCAGGTCCATCACAATAGGTGCCAGTCACACTTTGAGAGGTGTCAGATCTGGATCCAGCTTGCTCCAGCACAAATTAAACCCTGGTTCCAGTCTCTGCATTATATCATAATTATGAGATAGTGGGTCATAATTAAAAGACAAGATCCTCCTTGAAAGCAGAGTGCTTCTGTACATTATAACTATTTGTTTATAAAGGTAATAACTGTAGTCTGTGTTTCCTGCCTCCTCTCAGCTTTGTGCTGCTATTCGTTGCTCTTCATGAGGTTCGCCTACAAGGTGCAGCCACGTAACTGGCTACTGTTTGCTTGCCATATAACCAACGAGACAGCACAGCTAATTCAGGGTGGTCGTCTCATCAAATACAAGTAAGCAATATTCTAGCATGTTTTTTTTTCTTTGTCATTGTGAACAACAGATTTTTGGATTTAAATATTTGCTAATATTCTTACCCATATTTCACCAGAAATGGTGGCTTTATACCATGATATAGTCTTTAGTCAGCCTACAGAACAATTCCATCCATTCCAAATCATTGCTGGTATTATAGCCAACAGCTGTCCCATTCTGCTTTACTAAAGAAATGATAGAGATGTTACAGATAGTGTAGCAGCCTGCCATTTATTTGTTTTGTTGTGAAGCTTGTAGGTTCAAAGCCGTTTCATATATGATCTTAAGTTCTTTCTTGAATGTTCTGTCATTTGTAATGCCAACAAATGTCCAAACAAAAATGTGTCTAATTATTTTTAACCTGGTTCTTATTTAGCTACCATGGCTTTTGATTTTATTCATTATTTCATCTCTGACTCAACAGGAGTCAAAAGGAAAAGCACTGCTCCCTTATGCACTCCTATAGGGGGCGTGAAACTGAAAGTTACCTGCATTTAGCCATAAACATGGTGAAGTTTAGGAAAATGGGGTCATGTAATTAAAAGAGCCTTGTGTATACTCTGTTTCTCTGTTATTTTAGCATTGAGAAGAAGATGAGCTCTTAGTGGCAGAAGGAAGCAGACGCAGAACGGCACCATGCTGCAGCCGCCTAAACCCCCAAAACCAGGACAGCAAAACTCATGCATCAAAACATTTTATCTTATTGAAACAGTGACACTTAAATTTTAAGCCTGAAGTTACTATCATTGACCATCCTCTTGACATTTGTCATTTTTTACTACAATGAAAAAAACAGAGATGGTTTCCTTTAAGAATGAAGGTCATTTACTGTTTTATTTTTAGATTTTTGCAATGTTAAACATGACACAGTGTGGGTGAATGTACAGTCAGCTAACCAGCCTGACAGTTGGATGCCTTTTACACTTTCAGACTAGGCTTGAACTGTCATTAATCACAATCATCATCTCATTTCAGATCATCAGAATTAATGTATCTGTTACTTTCTAACCAGCTCAGTAATCTAAATATTAATGACATTTTACAGAGAAACAAGCCTGAGAACAGTTCACCAAACATGTCCATACTGTAGCAAATTTTTTGCTAGTTAATATGTATGTTCAGTCATTTGCCTTTTCTTAAACCCACAAAATACACAGAGCGCAAAGTTTTCTGTTTGTTGTTCCCTGGAACAAGCTATTAATATTAAATAATTGTATAAGGAGGTGTTTAAATCATACATAGTAGTTATGTGGTCAAACTGTCCACACTGTATTATAATAAAGCTGAGACTATCTAGGTTACAACCATGGGCAAGAGCAGCTGCTTCTGTCAATGCTGAAAAAATGTACAGTGTGTTGTTCTAACATCTCATTCACGTTAATTTATTGTTGTAGAATTAATTTTATGTTTCCCTAACTGATGATTTGAGGCTCTGGGTTTGTTAAAATAAATTGACTATAAACAACTTGAACACAATTTGGTGGGTGGATGACTTATTGTTTTTGATTAACTTCAGCTGTGCAACTGTAGTTTTCATTGTATTTGTTTTGTCCTCAAGTCCTACGCATGTTTCCTTTCCAGCATCAGAGGCCACTGCTCCGTATTTACACACATTTTGTTCTGCATCCTAATGCTCTTGATAAATTAGCAATAATTATTAAACATATTTTTACATATCAGCTTAACGGGGGATGAATGGGGTGTTAATTCATATCTTTATTTCAGTATATCAGTCATTATCATCCTGGTAGACACTGTGAACCAACTTTTCTTTCACAGTCACAATTGTGAATATGGCATACTGGAATTTCCTGTTTTGATCAAATCCAAAGGGGCCTTAGTGTACAAGATATACACATTTCCCTTATGATTAATTAATGTAAAATGCATATTAATTGTTCTAAATATGATGGCCAAGCCTTTTTGCATCCCATCAGTCTCAGATTAGCTGATGGAATAATAAATCCAGAATTAAAAACAAAGAAGGTATTGAGATGGAGTAGCAACATCAATGGGAAAAGGAAGTGAGTGGGAGACATTATTTTAGTCTTCAACCTATTATTAGGAAAACCGCTGATACTTATGGAAACTGCAGGGATGCAGATAGTAAGGAAACATCCAAATTGAGTATGCGAGTGGTAGTCTTGAGACAGTTCCTCATATTTTGTTATACTGTATGAATTATAGCATGTAAAAAAGTAAATTGTTCAAAAACCTTATTCTTGTTTTTCAGTTAAAACATTGCTTAGCCAACTTGAGAAAAACCAATTGATTACAAGGGCAGTTATTCCGTTTTTACAAAATACAGGATTATACTCAAGGATATTTAAACTTGACCATTTCATATTATATGCCTGCGGAGGGCAGTAATACGCACAGTTGTGTCTACGATGACTTAAACCATAGAAGAAGAAGTACAACAACAACAACAATAGGTAATAGAAGAAGAAGAAGACCCAGAACCACCCATATGCAAGATGGCGGCCTTTAGTAGTAATGAGTGGAGGGCTATATGCGATAAGTTCACTAATTCACAACACCTTACAGAAGTAGAATCACGAAATGACCCAGAAAATGACCCGTTCCGCTCCAAATACAAAGCCAGGGAGCTCCTCGGCGAGATATACTGTTCGCTGAAGGGTTTTGAAGCTGGGGAAGGTGACGAAGACAGGGGCAGAGATAGCGGCGACCAGCGGCCAACAGAGCAGCTGGTGGACGGGCAGAGGGTTGATGTGTTCACTCGGGGCTTCAGCGGTGACTCGCCCGCCGGGCTCCGGGCCGCTAGACTTGGGGCTGTGGAGTACTATCTCGGAGTCAACCACGTCGACACAGAGGAGCTGTCAGCTGGGCAAGAGCATATGATGAATTGTGTGAAACTGCTGGAGAGATGCAGGGTGTCGTCCGAGAACGTGTCGCTGTTTATCCATGTCAGGGTAACGTTAGCTTCATGCTAAAGCTAGTGCCACTTAGCTTTGCGTTAGCTAGCTGTCAGTGTGCAGTTTGCAGAATTTTTTGTTTGTTTTTAAACAAAAAGGGGAAAGGCATGTGCTGTAGCTAATGGGGGAAAGTAACTATCGCAATTACTGAAGTGCTACACTCAGTACACATTCAAATAAAGGAATAGATTATTCTTGGCTTATCCCAATTTTCTTATTGTAGTTGGAGATCAGATGATGAGATGATGCTCATCACTTATTGCTGCTGATGTGTTGGATGTCTGTGTTATTAGAACCAGCTGGGCATCCTTTGGGCAGGCCGAGATGAGACAGAGACAGCTCAGGGATTTCTGGAAACAGCAGAATCCCTCTATCAACGCTATATGAAAGAGGTAAGGTTGGGCCCTTGTGTGTCTGTTTATCCGAAGCTGCAGACATTTTGCACATTTATTTATTCTTGTCAGTTTACTTCTCCATCAACAAGTGTCACATAGCCATAATTTATGTCTGTCAGGAACCAAGACCAAGCATGGCACTGTAGTGTTTTTGATAAAAAAAAAAAAAGATTTGCACATACCCCAGGCATTGCATTATTCTGCATTATCAGAATTGTGCTTAAAATGTATACACTCATATTAGGTAGAAATGTGAATACTGTGCTGCAGATAGCAGAAGGGAGCAATGTTATCTTGCCATTGGTACTCAAAAGTGAAATTCACTGAGGAGTATATTTTTCTTATAGAAACAGGAGGGCAACAGTGCAGAGCCAACATGTCTGTGATTGAAAATGACATTGACCAGATTGTCTTGATCAGCAGCGATGGTTATTAACTTATGTTTTTTCAGGATGGGAGTCCTCCCACTGATATGACAGAGTACTTTACTACTGAGGAGAACTTGCTGACACATCAGGAAAGGACCAAGAGGTAACTTGTAAACTCCAACATCCCCATGGTCCACATTTGCAGATTTACCTGTCTATATAAATGTTATTTTGTCTTCTCCATTAACATCTTCTTCCCTTTGATCCATCTTTCCTTCTATACCTGCCAGGTTTGAGTTGGCCTACACCCATACCATGTACTACCTTGCTCAAGTCTATAAAAACCTTGGTGAGTCTGACCTTGTTTGAGTCAAATTAATAGAACTGTATATTGTTTTTCCAGGACAATGTAAATTTATGTATGAAGACACCTTTTTAGCGCTTGTCAAACGACTGCCCAGCTGACATGCATTATCACCATACAGTTTATCCAGTTGTGCCATGACTGGTTTCCTTGATGACTATGTTCTCTGCATGTTTCTGCTGTTTGTATTTGGTGCTGTAGTATAATGATAATACTGACCTTGTTATTGCGTTATTTCAAGGTGCCGGTAAAAGCGAGGGAAAACAGTGACTCTGTTTTTAAAGACAAAACTAAAGTCGCATGAAATATTCAGTTTTTTCAAATGTAATGTCTATTCGAATATTTTAAAATCATTGTCCATCCCTAATTCCTATTGATCTAAGTTAATGTTGGTTTATTTTATAACAGGTATAATAACTATAGTATTTTGTCTTCCAGGTCAAACTGAGCATGCTGCCACCTACTGTCACTGTACCCTGCAGAGACAGTTACAGCTAAACCAGTTCAGTCCAATGGAGTGGGCCCTGAATGCTGCTACACTATCACAGTATTACATCACTAAGGTGGGGCTTAGATTGAAAACAATTGATTTAAAGCCTCAAATTTAAAAGGATACTCATATTATCTCCCAAAAATATTTGTATGTATTTTTCCTTGTTACACAGTTTTCACCAGAAGTGAAAAGTCTGAGTTCCCTTATGGTTCAGTTCTGGTTTGTTAAAATCTTTGTTTGTTTAAGGGTCGATACATGGAAGGTAGACATTGCCTTTCGGCAGCAACTGTCATATCTGGCTTGGCAGGAGAGGTTCCTTCTGAGGCTGCAGCACAGGAGAGTATGTATCTGTCTAAAGCTTTGTCTAATATACGTTTCAAAATAAGCAAGCTGATTTTCTTATTTCCTTTGGATTCTGGACCCCTAAACAATTATAATGAGTCAAACTAGAGAGAGCACAACAGTGGGCAAAGTAATGCTACAGTTTTGCAACCAGTCCTACTTCCCTCCCATATTTATTACCTTGCTTCCTCTCTTTGACTCCTTCTCCCTCCGTTTCATTTCATTCTGATATACAATCAATATGGAAAATATTCAGACCCTTTCAAGTTTTCCAGATTCTGTTATGTTTCAGATTCATCTTAACATGGATTCAGTTTCATTTGTCCTCATCAATCCACACACAATACTCTGCAACGATAAAGTAAAAACTGGTTTTTGGAGTGTTTTGTATATGTACTAAAAATAAAAGATTGAAATATCCCATTTACTTAAGTATTCAGACCCTCTGTTATGACACTTGCAATTGAGGTCTTGTGTATCCTATCGGTGGCCGCTGAGATGCTTCTACAGACTGATTGAGGTCCATCTGTGCCTAATTTAATGCACTGAATATAATTAGGAAAGGCACACACCTGTCTCTATAAGGTCTCACAGTTGGTGCTGTATGTCAGAGTGAAAACAAAGCCATGAGGTCAAGAGAACTGTCCACAGACCTGTAAGACAGGATTGCGTCAAGGCACAGATCTGGTGAAGCATACAAGAAAATTTCTGCAGCATTAAAAGTGCCCAAGAGCACAGCAGCCTCCACCATTCTCAAATGGAAGAGATCTGGAACCACCACTGGTCTTCACATATCTGGCCGCCTAGCCAAATGGAGTAATAGGGGATGAAGGGCCTTGCTCAGACGGGTAACCAAGAGCCCAAGGGTCACTATAAATTAGATCCACAGTTTCTTTCTGGAGGTGGGAGAACCTTACAGAAGGACAGCCACCAGCACAGCATCCCACCGACCAGGTTTCTATGGCAGAGTGGCCAGACAGAAGGAATTCCTCACTAAAAGACCCCTGACAGCTAGACTGAACTATTAGGCCACACTTATTAGACCACAGCATGTATGAAGAAAACCAAGCATAGAGCATCACCTCATTAATACCATCCCTACAGTCAAACACGGTGGTGGCAGCATCAGGCTGTGGGGAGGTTTTTTCTGTGTCTGATACTGGGGGAACGGTCAGGATAGAGGGAAGGATGGATGCAGAAAAATATAGAGCAATTCTGAGTGATAACCTTGTCCAGAGTGCTCAGGATCTCAGGCTGGGGAGGTTAACATTTCAACAAGACAACGATCCGAAGCATACCACTAAGGAAAGTCTTGGAGTGGGCCAGAGTTTGGACCTGAACCCAACAGAACATCTCTGGAGAGAACTGAAAATGGCTGTGCCCCAATGCTCCCCATTCAAGCTGGTTGACCTTGAATGATTCTTCCAAGAAGAGTGGAAGAAATTTTAAAAAGAAAGGTGTCAAGCTTGTAACTTCATTTCCAAGAAGGTTTGAGGCTGTCATTGCTGCCAAAGGAGCCTTAACTAAATAATACGTGAAGGGTCTGAATACTTTTGTGAATGGGAAATTTCAGTCTTTTATTTTTAATACATTTTCAAAACATGTTTTTCACTTTATCATTGAGTTTTGTGTGCATACTGAGGGAAAAATGAATTGAATCTATTTTAAGACGATTCTGAAATATTACAAAATGTGGAAAACATGAAAGGGTGTGAAAACTTTTCATACTGACTATATATATATATATATATGATTCATTTCCTCTCTCATGATATATCCTAATGTCTTTTTCTTTTTTGTGTGACACAGGTGAGACAGAGAGTGAGCGTAGGGAACAGCTTAGACAGAAGCAAGCAGAGATTGCGAGATGTTGGATCAAATACTGTCTCAACCTCCTGCAGGATGCTAAAAAGCAGCTAGAGGTAATGCACTTGTGTATGCCTGCGGCTCTTTTTAGAACTTTTGGAATGAAGTCACATGACTAACTTACACTTTAGTCATATGAACAGTGGTTGAAGGGAAAGAAGAACACAAAAAAATCTCAATAAAAACCCAAAGGGGAAAAAAAGGTTTGCATATAAGTTGATGCTTAAATTAACCCCAAGAATGTCAAGGAGTGTCACTTTAACTTGTCTGTTTTGTTGTGGCTAAACCTTAACGTGCATGTTTGTTGGTGAGTATCTGTGCAACTCCATGTTTACCTAGCTAATTTTACATGTGTGCTTGCGTGTATGTTATACCTGTTTTTGTGACCAGGACAACATCGGGGAGCTGGATACTGATCGACAAGAAGAGATGAAGAGGGCGAGAAGACGTGATGAGGAGGAAGAAGAGAAGGGCAGGAAGAGCACTCTGCTGTTTGGCTCTGAGGACACTTTTGACTCCATCACTAGCGTGGAAGAGAAGGTCTTTATATTATGTTTGATGCTACTTCTGGTGCTGTTTGCAATGCTATTATTATAACTATTTTCATATTATTGTTATGTCATGGGATACTGCTAATTGTTATCAAAGTCACCAGTATTTTTGTTAGTAGCAGCAGAAAGACTTCATTCATAATGAATCATAATGATAGTTATTTTTTCAATGTCATGTTTCAGTAATAAAATATTTTTGGTGTCATAGTATCAGTCCACATATCAAAAAGATAGTTAAAGACAAATCTGGCAATAAATGGCCAATTAAGATTGCTGCATCATCAGAGGGCTCCATTCTGCAAATAATAATAGATTTAATCAAAATCTATGTTTTGTTTTATAGGTGAACTGTTTGTTCCCTCTGGACTTCACCGAAGCCAGAGCTGTATTTCTGGTGGGGCAGAATTATGTCACACAGGTATATACAACATGGCGCACACTGCAAATTGGTTGGGCAGTCTCCAATCATCAACAATAGATGTGTTTGAGTAAACAGACACCCATGACAGTACAGCAAAAGTGAATATTAAAAGCAGTTTCATTGGCAAAAAAACAAAATTGCATTAAAAAGTCGGGCTACACAGTAAAAACATATTTTTGAGCTGAGTCTGATCTCAGCCACATTGCACTGCACTGGTACCACTCTTCCCAAGAAGCAAATCTGCACCAGGTACAGGATATCATCAACATGATGGTGCTCCTTTTCTTGGACTGTCCAACACATGTCAAACTGTCTTTTTATTAACAAAAAAGGAGATTTAACTTTAATCATACTAGAGGAAGTGTGGCTGTCTGAATCACATTACAAAATCATATTAATGGCAGAGTTGCCCTTCAGAAATGTTTTGTTTTTAAGGCCAATGAGAGAAATTCCTATCTCTGTGTAGGGAGCACAAAACCAGCATTTCTGAGCCAGTAAAAGTTGTGATTTGATTAAATGAGGAGTCCATCCTTTTTCTTCATTTATGTAGGTCCACTGGTTACTGGATCGTGCAGTCTGTAGGGCCAATACTTGTTCCAAAACCTTTTCCTCATGCTGCTCCCACAACTGTCTCATTTAAAGTAGATCAGTGTCAGAAAGGCCTTTCCCTGTTATTTATGAACTGTTATGGTCTGTAGCTGATCTTTATTTGCGACTGTCTCTCATCCTTTTGTTTTTCCCTGGAGGCCAAGGAGTACTTTCAGATGGATGGATATGTGACGGACCACATAGAGATCTTGCAGGATCATAGTGCTCTGTTCAGGGCCCTGGCTTTCTTTGAAGAGGACCTTGAGCGACGCTGCAAAATGCACAAACGAAGAGTGGACATGCTAGAACCAATCTGCAGTGGTACCAAGCTTACTTTGTTCTTGAGTTGCAAAATGTTCTTTTTCCCTTTGTCTCTGAATATTTTCACAGGATAAGTACTGTAGAAAACACTAAAATAAAGTAACTGTCCATGCAATGTTATTAACTCTGACTTTGTCTCACTGTTCGTTTCTCTACAGACTTGAATTCCCAGTATTACCTAATGATCCGCAGACAGCTGATGTTTGAGCTGGCTGAGACCTACAATGAAATGATGGACCTGAAACTGACACTTGCCAACAGACAAGCAGACACACAGTCTCTAGATAACCACACCATTAAGAAATTCAACCATCTCTGCTCTGCCTCTGTCAAGTGAATGCACATTGTCTGTATGCAAGTACCCGTGTGTGTCTCTGTTCATCTACATTACTCGCTCTGAGCGATTTGTAATCCTCTCCTCTCCAGGTACTTCCAGATGTTCCTAGACTCCCTGCGTTCCCCGGAGGGAAAGTTTCCAGAGCACCTGGAGGAGGAGGTGCTCAGACCAGCTCTGGTGGCCCGCTTCAGAGTGGCTCGACTGCACAGCCGACTGATCAGCTCCTCACCTTCTGCTCAGCTGGAAAACCTCAGCAAATCTCTGGAAGACTACAAGTATGAACATATATTTGTTAATTTATGGCAATACATTTGAATAGGAGTGCTCTATAGGATGACAGTAATAAGCCAATGTTATTAAAGAAGTGAGGTGAAAATAGAGTGAGTGACAGGCCTATTTGGTGGAAATGAGTGAAAAGGCTTGGAGTAGGGGGTGTACCTTAGTCAATTTTCCTTATATGTATAACACGTTGACCATAATTGTTGTCCTCCATTTGCTGTCTAGATACGTGGTGGAGTATTGTGAGGCCCACCCTGAGGCAGCAGCCGCTGTGGAGACGGAGTTGGAGCTGAGTAAGGAGATGGTCGACCTGCTCCCTCTCAAAATCAACCGCCTCAAAGCAAGGCAGGCTGCACACAACTGAAGGATGTAATTGTTCACAAACTGCAAATTTGATTGACTAAATCCTTCCCAGAGAATTTGATAACTGACTTGCTTGCTTTACTGCATTTGTGTTGGTGACAGCTTGTTTTTTTGATTTGTTTTGTGCAGTGGGCATGCTGCTTTCACCTGCGCGACCTTTGAACACATTACATGCTGTACATATATAGCTCATATTGCCTTCTCAGCACAGAAAATGTACTCTGTTCAAAATCAAAATCAAAATGTCATAGTACAAAAAAAACGCTAATGGTTGGTTACATTATTTATATACGGGTTCCACCGTGCTCAGAAAAAGCTGGTGCATTGTCCTGATGATATTATTCAATAATCACAAATTAGGATCCCACGCAGTGACAGGAAATCACTTTTCTTGTAATTTCATTAAGTTCAATCCTAATTTGTGATTACTTGGTATATTCAAACATTCAGCCCTTTGAGCTGAATCTGAATTGACCCAGTCCTGTTTGCCTCTTTAGATCAGTACTTTCTTCCCAGCCAGAGCGGTGTAAAACACAATGGGCATCGTGACTGTATAACCAGTCTTGGTAGGTTTATTGTGAAATTGTTTTATTTTTTTTTTTTTTTCTAGCTATGCAGAAAAAAATCAAAAGATAAAAAAGTCATGCCTGGACTGAGCAGGTTCCCTTTGCATGTTTGAGGTGGACATGTACATAAGATTTTTTTTTTTTCTTTTCATGTCTCAGGTGTTCTCTGTGACCCTAGTCTGATGATTTTATTAATCATATTGGTTTTATTTTATTTGGTGTGGCTTTATTTTCTGTAAAGCACTCTAGCACACTAAGACTGTTTCCTCAGCTACTTTGTAAAACAAATGTTAAGGCCTACCGTAACCATGCAGTAAACAGAGGTACAGTTGGCTCCTTAGAATTGAGATGCCTGTTTTTCAAAATGTCAGAAACAACATCCCAGTAACATGAAGTCATAAAGTGGACTTGACCACACTGTTGTTGGTTTGTTAGACATCATAGCTGCATAATGCCGTGGTCGAGTTGAACTGTGTCTGTTGTTCCTGTCTCTGAGGAGTCGCATGCCATCCTGTTTTTGTATAACAGATAACTTCATGCAAATATAATCAACCAATAAATTTAATGCACAGTTATTCCATGTGACAATCTTGTGTTTTTCCCCTTGTAATCAGAAGTTGGGTGTAAAATAGCATTTCTCTGGTACAGCCCCACATAACAGAACAGGTATGTGAGGGCTAAAATGATCTCAGGTTTTCCAGACTATTAAATTAATGCTGAAAAATGACAGTCTATGAAAACTGAATTATGCCTTAAACTGACAATTTGATGATGTCCCTTAAAATTAACAGTATACATCTTTAAATTAACAGTATACATCTTTATTGTTGTGTTCTCCATGTTTCCATATTATATGTTAACAAATTGTGTTAGAGGTGACAGAGATAAATGGAACTTTTCATATTAATAGTAAAAAGACCTAAGAAAAAAATCACCAGCTGTCCCTGTGTGAGGTCTTTCATTTCTGTCTGCTGGACTGGAGTAAACCGGGACCATCTGTAAATTCTAAGATGCAGTTGCATGATTTTGTAACAGGAAGCATTTGCAACAGTGGTCAGATGTGTGCACTAATGCAATTTCCAGCTAACTATGACGCCATGCCACTTTGCCTTACTCTGTGCCATTTCCTTTCCAAAACCATTAGGGCTTTGTGGTGAAGATGTAACCTAGCAGGACAGTGGCTCTGCTCTATTTGGTAGAGACTAGTGGCACCATGTCCCCAGCATAGCACACAACTCAGTTCAACCATTAACAGATAATAGAGATAAAAAGGAAGAGGTGCATGCTCTGTGGCACTAAGAGCTGTAAAAATAAGCATAACTTGCTTAAAATGCAACTCACAGAAGTCCAAGGCATACGCAGCACTTGAATTCTGTTTCTTCAGTGACTAGTGATGGGAGGAACCCAGCTGGTGACATCTGTGGTTTTGTGATTGTCACATTTTATGAAAAACTTTGAAGTGATACCACATAGACCCAACTTTTCTTTATGGTACACTGAATCAGCACTTTTTTAGAAAAATCATTGATTGACAGCTGATCAAGACCAAATTTGCATCATTAATAAATCTTATATCTTTGGGTGTTTCTCCACTGTCTGTCCTGTCTTAATGTAATCCTCTTTTACACTGGATTTCCTTCCATGTGTGTGTTGTGTGGAACCAGAAAGACACACACCCTTTTACACACCATACAATGTGTATACAAACTGTGCTTTATAATGTTTGTATGTCTTTGTGTCATTGTGTACACACAATGACACAAAGAAGATGTGTGACTGCTGAAAAAGTGTATATCACAGTCTTAGCCCTCAGTTTCCTCTTTTGGAGTTCCTTCTTTACTGGTATCAATAGTATCAGTTATTGACCTTAGATTTAAAGAAGAAAACTGAACACCACAAATCCCAGCAGCAGTTTATTTATGCTGACATTAGAATCACTGACCACATAAATAACAACCCAGTTAACTTTTCCAACCATAGTTGTATTACAAGAACTCCACAGAAAAACTGCTTCTTATCACACAGTACATTTTATCATGAGATAAGTACAATGAAGATGAAGGAGACATTTTAGCTGGTCCTCAACTTCAACAGACTTTTGGGGGGTTGAGACTTGGTTTTAAGGTTTAGATTAGAATGTGTGTGTGTGTGTGTGTGTGTGTGTGTGTACACATGTTACAGTTAGCACTGTCAAATATTTGTTAAGTTCTTGTACAGTGGGGAAGGGGCTTGTGGGGTGAATACTACATTCCTCCCTGGGACTGTCTTTATGCTCTTCTTCTTCTTCTATGTCCCTATGTCTCTTTAATGCTTCCTATTTGACTGTGTCAGACAAAAGGAGAAGAAGACACAGAGAGAGAAAGATCAGTATGATGCTGCAAGAAGTGGTAACATCAATTACTAATTTCTATTTTCCTGCAGGAAATGACACACTAGCCTACCCAACATCTCACACACTCATACTGTAAGTGACATATTTCCATCTGTTATCTATACCACTTATTCCTGACTATGATTTGGACTGTGGGAGGAAGCCGGAGTACCCGGAGAGAGCCCACACAGGCACAGGGAGACCATGCAGACTCCGCACAGAAAGGCCCTGGGTCGGCCCGGCCTCAAACCCAGAACGCAGTCCAACTAGGTTTGTTCTAATCAGTCCAAAGTGTGAAAGAGATCACATACATCTGTTTTTATCTGATTGCATGTTTATTACAATAAATCTTTCTTCAATTGTGAAACAGCAGATCAAGAGAATTGACATCTATTTCACAATTGCATTTAGCCAGATAATGAGCCCCCACACACATACAACATAGAAGTCATAATACTGATTGAGATGTAAATTGCAGTTTGTCCTAGAGCATTAATTTTAACCTCTTCATTGATTCAGTTTGAAGACATCTAATACTAAAACCACAAAAGACATGTCAGCGAAGCGGAAGTGCAACAGCGACTGAGGACCATTGTAAGCTAGCGTAATCATTTTTTAAAACTCCCAAACTGTCACTGCGTCACAGTTTGTCATACACAAGTAACTGCAGCAATGCTACTTTCACATTCGTGTCGACTGACATCTGTTCTCACAGTCGGGATGTAGCAGCTTTACAACACCGTCTGGTTGTATTTCCAGCTAAATGATGCATCATAGGCTGATAGGACAAGAAAAACCTCTGCAAATGGCAGCAGCCCTACAGCTTTGATTCTTTTGTTTCTAGTGTTTGGAATTGTGAGACTGTGATGATAATACAGTATATGTCATATTTTCATCTGCCGGAGGGTCGTTATTACATTAACCAAATGTTTATTTCAACCAGGTGATCTCAAAGACTCAAGTACAGCACATGAATGCAAAGAAAACAAACACAAACTGGTTTTTACAACAACACTTTAAAAACAACACACACCTTTAAAAACATCCAAATTAAAACTTTAAATCCATTCAAAGATATAAGACTATCGAGTTTTAAAATCCCAAGTTTCAGTAATTAGCAAATGGATGCATTTTCCAGGAAGCCGTCTCGGCCAAGTTCACATTCATTAGTTTCAAGTGTGTTGGTGTTGAGCAGGTACATCAATACACGTTCTGACAAGCATCAGAAAAGTCAGCGGGAGCATATCGTAACTGCAGCTTAACCGTTTGCTGACTTTAGCACTGGTCTAAAATAATGCGAGCTGCCAAAAACATCCTGAGTGACTTCTGAAGTTAGTCTGATAACTGCACTTATCAGACTACGTGGACAGGCAGAGGGACATGGTGTCACTGGAAGTGTGACAACATGCGTTTACCAACACATTTGTATACAAACACCAGTGGTGGAGGAGGTAATTACTTTTACTAAAATAAAAATAGGACTACTACAGTGTGAAACAAGATATACTTGTGTAAAATTCTTCATGCATAAGCAACAAAATGTTAAAGTTTGATTAGTTACATTGTCTTTACCTTTTGGATTATTTGGTCAGTTTCAGTATAGGCAGCGCCACTGACTGGGCAACTGTGCACTGTTTTATTTAGTCTCTTTTTAGTTGGTTTGCATCTCTGTGGTTTTTTGCACCTATATATTATTATTTTGCATCTGCTTTTACTTGTAATCTCGACATGGTTATTTTTGTCCATGTTTTACTTGTTTTTTCTATGAAGTTGTGTTGTATGTCCTTGTGCTCATTTTGCATCTGTGTGAGTGTTTTGCATCTATTTTTTTTTTACTGATTTTTCTTGTTTACTGACTTTAGAGCAAAAAATGTCAAAAGTCACAGCTCTGGGCCAGGGGCCCTGTAACCTTACATGGGTGGAGATAATACTTCATACCTGTTTAGATAGGAAATATGTAATATTTTACAAGCTATGTTATTTCTTTGTTTAGCAAACTAACCAGTAACTACAAAATAGCTGTACAGTGGAGTAAAGAGTAATCAAGTGAAATATAAGGTAGTAGAAAATGAAAATGCTCAGTGTGAGTAAATACATAACCACAGACACAAGCACATAAGCCCGCAGTACCTGTGGACACAGATGAAGCACACAAGCACACAATGTAAACAGATGCAGACATACAAAAGTACAGACTAAAGTAGACACACACACACGGGTATGTGTGTCTACTTTAGTCTGTACTGGCCAGCCAAACATTCACACACTGTAAAGTGGGGTCATTCACTAGTGGTGTGTTACAGATGGTGCAGTAGCTCAGAGACCAAGCTGTTGCTGTGGAGTTTGGGCCTAAGTATTTCAAACCTAACAATGGTTTGGTACAACGTCTCCCAGGCCAGGCTCCAGTACATTCCCACATAATAATTACTTTTCCTTCTGTTACCACAGAAGATGATTCTGTTGTTACGGTGGTTTATTGGTGCAGGGTGGTTGTATTTCTCTGTCACTGCCTCCTTTGTTTGTTTTGCTTTGTGACGCTTAAAGAAAGCTCAGTTACGTTGGGTGAAACCACAAATAAAGAAAGTAAAGGAGTGAAATACAACCACACACACACACACACAAACATAAGGTTTTCGCATGAACTGGAGAGCTCAAAGAACAAATAACATTTAAATGAATGGTTTTCATCTAAAAGCTCTCAAAGATGTGGCCCATCTTCTTCTTATCTCAATATAATGAACCCGGAGCCATTGAAGAAAATTGCTTCCTCTCGCTCGTTAAGAATCTCGGCTACTATCTTCTGGTATTTCCTCGGACCAAGTACCTAGTTATGCTCCGACCTAAGACACGACATTTGAGGCAGCTAACAAAAAGTTTTCCACTAAGGATATTCAGCAACTTTCTATATGACTTCAGGAAACCATGACGCACTCACAGGGCCGAGCTCTTTAGGGGGGAGTTTGACTGTCTGAGGCAGTTTACACTTCATCTCGCCAAGAAGCGTCATTTGGAAAGGGGCACCTTTATACTTTCTTGTTGTTGTGTTAAAGAAAGACTAATTTGAGGATGAAGCTGATTCTGTTCGTCGTTATCTCCTGCCTGGCCTTACATAACGGAAAGGGTAAGTCCACAACTTATTAGAACATCTACTTTGTGGTGATCCGTCGCAGTAGACTTTATTCAGACTTTATTTGGACAGATCGCAGTGGAAACAAGTCAAGTCATTTCCTCCCCGTAGCGGAGCCAAACTGGGGTTCTAATATTACTTAGAAGTTTTAAAGTTCAGTGATGTGGTATTTGACTGAGAAGCAAAACCAGGAAGGGCTCCTCTTTCTTGGCATTTGACTGTATGTGGCTCATTTAACAGCGTCAGGTTTCTGAGGTGATGGCAACGCAC